CCCCAACTACCTCTGAGGCCACAGACATTCCAATTTAAATAAGTCATGACTGGTAATGAGAAAGATACAAGAAATCTGCAGGTAAAGGTATCTACAGACTAGAAGGGTTAGAAAAGTCCACATGTGGCGGCAGTGGAAAATGTTCAAGCAGCGAATGAATGGGATGCTGCGAAGATAGGAGTTGTGCAGATGGAGGAGAGGGAAGAGGAGGAACAGGAGGTGGATCGGTGTCCATCGATGGTCTAGTCTCTTCAATATATTCTGAGATAGCTTCAAGTGTTTCAGAAGACAAGGATGTTGTATGGGAGACAATATTGGAGATGGAAGGGGGAGGGTGAGTAAAGATTGAGATGGCAATGGACTGTACCAAAGTAGGGGGGCACAAAAGGGTAGAGGGAACTGGAGAAAAAAACGTGGGAGGGGACAGAAGAGGAAGGAACCTGGGAGGGGGCAGAAGAGGATGAAACTTGGGAGGGGACAGGGGAGGAAGGTATAGTATGAGGAGGAGGGTGAACCTCCACACTTGTAACAGAGCCATTAAGAGGTGAAGAACCAGGTACAGAGACTGGAAAGGTAAAATGTGGAGGTAGAAGAAGGGAAGGAGGGGTTAAAGGAGATTTGAACAATGGGGATTTTTTGAACTTCTGAGAAGTAGAGGGCGATGGGGAGGTGTTGTTGTATGAGGTCTTGTCGAAGAGGTGGGGGGACGTTTAGAAACATGACAATAAGAAATACGGGAGAGTTTCCCTGGGAGGCATAGTTGAATGACTGCCATAGCACAGGGGAAACCTTCTGCCTCTTTGAGACAACGGATTTCTCGCTCATTAAAGTAAACTTGGCAATGGCGAGAGTAAGATGGGTGAGCCTCATGACAATTAAGGCAAGAAGGAGATAGACTACAAGACGTATTGGTATGGTCATCGGCACCACAGACTGGGTATTCGGCTATGGACCTGCAATATTTAACTGGATGACCAAAATGCCAGCAGTTTCTACACTGTTGCAGTGTAGGGATCACCTTTCAAACTTGTAAACAATGTCCTGCTATATAAACAGAGGATGGGAGTTCACGGCAGTCGAAAGTTAATCGAGCTACACTGCAAGGGTATCGTCTCTGCCTGCGGACAGGGAGGACATAAGTGTCTACTTTGAGGACAGGAAGGTCTTGGAGTTCCAGCTGTTCCAGAATGTCATTGCCACATGTCTGGAAATTCTTTGGACAATTGTACAAGGCAGAATGACAGTACCACTACAAGAATTGAGGGAATGATGTTTTTCAATAGTTATAGGAATAGTATTGATACTTGAAAGAAGAGAAGGATCGTGAGCTTGGTTAACATTCTGGACATTGATGATGTGTATACTGCTCTTGAGAGCATGAAAGAATATATCTCTATCAACATGGCATAGGAGCACCTTGCCAATACTGTGGTCGGAAAGAGAGGCAGTAGAGGAAGTCAGTCGTAAAGTAAAGAATTTAGTCCATTGTGCATTCCAAAACTGAGCATGGAAAGGGACTGCATGACATGCCAGTCTTTTCTGAGTAGAATGAGAAGGAAGTGAAGAAGTATCATCAGGTAACTATCGTGGGCATTTAGGAGTGGGACCAGAGTTGGTCCGACATGGTACGGGCTTGCGATTCAAAAATTGCCGTGCTGTAGGAGAGGCTAGAAGCATAGTCAAAGAAAAGCAGAGGTCAGATGTATCAAAGGAGTCAGTCAAAACCCTGGTACCTGAAGTGGGTAACGAAACAGCACCAGCAAGAGGTACAGGGACATTAGAAGTGTCTGAAGAGTGGTCAAAAAATGAGGCAGGGTCAGAACAGAGTGCAGTATCAGAAAGGGGCCCAGGAGGAGCAGGTTCATGTATTTGGGGTTCTATGGTTAGGTCTCTTCTTTCTTTTTGTTAGGAAAAAGAAAAAAGTAAAGTAAAAGAAAAAAGAAAAAAAGGGGGGGGGACATGGAGGAATAGCTCCTAGAAAGCAAAAAAGGGGCCGGAAATCCCCGTCCATGCCCAAAAGGACCTCAGCACCGCAAGTAGTGCAGATATGGCATGGGATCTGTGCCATACCCTACCCTTCATGCCAGTAAACCAGCAATCCAGGATAGCAACCTCGCATCCACCGAGCCACCTCAGTGGGCAAAAGAGAGGGCAGCCAGACACCCACCACAAAGCACACCTCCTTCGGCCACCACCTTCTGGAACCCGACAGGCAGCCTCCAGAGATACACCCGTCACTCGAAAGACATCCAAACCCACCCCCTGGGAGACCGGAGAGGGACTGGGACACCTCCAGGCGATCCAGATTCCATGGCAAATTACATCACCACCAAGGACCTCAATGGAATGGGATGGACCCCGGTATCCTTCCCCCTACCTAGGAACCAGCATGCCTGTGGGAAGTATCCCAGAGGCCAAAAATAGGAAGGGAATAAGGGAGGGGTGGTGAGGAGGAAAGGGAAAAGGGGAGGATGGGGAAGATGGGATAGGGGAGGGGATTGGGGGTAATTAGGTTCGGTCTGGGAAAGGAGAACAAAGGTCTAATTCCTCAGACCAAGAGCCTCTTCACTACACCAAGGAGCCCCACTTGAAGAGGAGGAGAAATATCAGAGCCAGAACAAATACAGAAATTGTTTATGGCTCACAGTGAGCCAGTAAAGCATTTAAATTACTGGGAACGCCTTCAAATTTTGAGCATGTACTCATTGGAGTGGAGGAGAGAAAGATAAATGATAATATATACCTGGAAAATACTCGAGGGCCTGGTCCTAAATCTGCATACTGCCATAACAACATACTGGAGTGAGATATGTGAGGAAGTGTAAAATAAACCCAGTGAGGAGCAGGGGTGCGGTGGGCACAATAAGAGAACACTGTATCAACATTCGGTGTCCCAGACTATTCAACATCTTACAACATCATGTTCTTAACACAACATCATGTTCTTAACACAACATCATGTTCTTAACACAACATCATGTTCTTAACACATCATGTTTTTAACACAACATCATGTTCTTAACACAACATCATGTTCTTAACACAACATCATGTTCTTAACACATCATGTTTTTAACACAACATCATGTTCTTAACACATCATGTTTTTAACACAACATCATGTTCTTAACACAACATCATGTTCTTAACACAACATCATGTTCTTAACACATCATGTTTTTAACAGAGCATCATGTTGCCTAAGATATTTGTAATGAAAGGCAATATTTATTTTCAAATTACTTGATGACAATAAAGACATGACTCTTGTGAACAGGAGAACTAAAAGAAACAATGATAACAATGTAAGGTCGTTAGAAGACATGTTCATGTTCTTTTTCTACACAGGATTTTAAAAGGTCAAGGATTCCTACTAGAAAGAGAAAGGTGCTCTCTATATAGACAAAGGCAAAGAATAACAGAGCGGCCACAAGACGCGATACGTAGGGAGACACTGGTCAGAGAAACAGCACACGAGCTAAAGCTAAAGGAATCTTACAGGAGCCAAGAAATGCTAGAACTAAATGTCATAAATAAAATTGAAAGAAACCCAAAGTATTTCTTTTCTTAAGCCAAATCAAAGTCCAGAACAACACCCAGTATTGGGCCCCTACTTAAAAGGGATGGGTCCTACACAGATGACAGCAAGGAAATGAGTGAGCTACTCAAGTCCCAATATGACTCGGTTTTTAGCAAGCCACTAACCAGACTGAGAGTCGAAGATCTAAATAAATTTTTTTTTATGAGAGAGAGACAGAATATGGTAGACACACATCTATCTGATATGATCCTGATGCCAAATGACTTCGAAAAGGCGATAAATGACATGCCCATGCACTCTGCCCCAGGCCCAGACTCATGGAACTCCGTGTTCATCAAGAACTGCAAGAAGCCCCTATCACGTGCTTTTAACATCCTGTGGAGAGGAAGCATGGACACTGGGGTCATCCCACAGTTACTAAAAACAACAGACATAGCCCCACTCCACAAAGGGAGCAGTAAAGCAATAGCAAAGAACTACAGACCGATAGCGCTAACATCCCATATTATAAAAAATCTTTGAAAGGTTCTAAGAAGCAAGATCGCCACCCATCTAGATACCCATCAGTTACACAACCCAGGGCAACATGGGTTTAGAACAGGTCGCTCCTGTTTGTCCCAACTACCGGACCACTACGACAAGGTCCTGGATGCTCTAGAAGACAAACAGAATGCAGATTTAATATACACAGACTTTGCAAAAGCCTTCGACAAGTGTGACCATGGTGTAATAGCGCACAAAATGCATGATAAAGGAATAACAGGAAAACTCGGTAGATGGATCTATAATTTCCTAACAAACAGAACACAAAGAGTAGTAGTCTGAGGCGGCTACGGTGAAAAGCTCTGCTCCACAAGCCAAAGTACTCGCCCCACATCTTGTTCCTCATCCTCATATCGAACATAGACAGGGATATAAGCCAGAGTGCAGTATCTTCCTTTGCGGATGACACCCGAATTTGCATGACAGTGTCCTCCACTGAAGACACTACAAGACTCCAGGTGGACATCAACCAAATCTTTATGTGGGCCGGAGAAATCAATATGAAGTTCAATGATGAGAAATTCCAATTACTCCGATATGGAAAACGTGAGGAAATTAAAATTTCATCAGAGTATAAAACAAATCCCAACCACACAACAGAGCAAAAAACTAATGTCAAAGACAGTTTTTTATATATATAAAAATGAGGAAATACTAAACCTGTCTCACTTTTCTCTCTCAGACTTTCTCTCTCTTTCTCCCCCTCTCTCTCTCAGTCTCTCTCTCTCTCTCTCTCTCTCTCTCTCTCTCTCTCTCTTGAAAGACCTCGTATAACACATTTTGAAAGCCACTGATAAAAACTGAATATTGAAGGCAATAGTTCAGTTATCAGGGCACAGACCGGGATTCCTGGCTTATACAAACATCTGTCTTCTTTTATATATAAAATATATTATTCTCGTGTCAGTTGCCTGTTTAAGACAATTTTTATTTACATCTTCGTATGTTTTTCTCACCAGGGAATTAAATCTCCCCCGTTCTTGGTGGCTTTCCCCAGGTGTTGCCACTGGAGAACAAGATGAAAACACCCAGGGAGTTTGGTGGATTAACTGGGGTGCTGAACACCGCTATGATGCTGGTAGTGTGCTTGTACGCCAGCGTTGGTTTCTTTGGTTACCTCCAGTATGGCAGTACAGTTCAAGGCTCCATCACTCTCAATCTTCCTGCTAGCGACCCGTGAGTCTCTCATCTAAAGGTAGTGAAAGTTGCCTTAAGATACGATTTTGTTCGGATTTATAACCTGGAGGGTTAGCCATCCAGATTAACCCAAGAAAATCAGTGCATCACTGAGGACTTGTCTTATTTCCATTGTGGTCCTCCAGTCTTGTTCCCCAGGTACCTATTTTACTGACAAGTGTAGATGGACCTTGGGTGTCTTAATATATCCTAATGTTTCCACCCATAATGGGGATCGAACCACTGGCCTCAATGTGCGAGACGAGTGTGCTAATAATAGAGCTACAGGACCCAGATTCGAGCCTACGCAGGTGTACACGTTGGACATGTTTTGTTGGAGCTGTTGCCTCTGTCTTCCTAGCATTAAATGGGTACATGTGTGTTAGTCATAAATATTGGGTAGCAGTCAAGAGAAGGGGCGAGAGTGGTACTACAGGCTGGGTATTCTGCATTAAGTTGACGACGGATTAATTGATCCTGGTCTGTAAATCCAACTGTGTTAAAAAAATCAAGTGTTCAGACTGGACAATACAGGCGGGTCTTGCCTTACGGTGATTCGCTAATACGAACATTTCAAATTATGAACAAAAATTCGTTCATACGGCTCCCTGATTCACTATTATGGCATCCGCGTGCCACTCTGTATACATCCTGAGTTCCTAGTCTCTCCATTATGTCTGGAACCTTTCCAGAATTTCAAGTGCTTTAAAATTATTGTATATTTTATATATACTCTCTGATAATTATACTTACATGTACCTGTACCTAAATAAACTTACTTTGCTGGTGTGCAGGTATATTAAAATCACTAAAAGTGTCTCACTGGTGTTGATGACGCCATAACAATTATAATCGCTCTGGGTTAGTTTAGTTTAATATGTTTATTATGCGGTAGTCAGAAGATTACAGAGGTACATAATTGGTCCAGGGACTGGACTCCAAAGTTTTGATAGTTGAGCAAGTTACAGAGGTAATGAATTCACAATTTACAAAGGTAAAGAACTCACGAATTACAAAGGTAATGAACTCCAGGTAGGTCTAGTCACAATCATGACAAGTTACAAAGGTATTTACAGATTACAGAGGTACGTAATGGGTCCAGGGACTGGGCTCCCAAAGTTGTGAAGGCTGAACTAGGTACAAGGTAACGCTCTGGGGCGCCTCAAATGTTATATATTACGTTAATATGGATATTTTCATTAATCCATCTATGATATTTTTTTCAAAATTATGTAAGAAACATGCTACATGTCATATAAACATAATGTATACAACCATATTAGTTAACACATGTAAATATAAATAACCATTTTACCTTATTCCTCGTATATCTCTTTTACAGTATAATAAGATATTATTTCCTTTATGGTATAATAATGAAGTATTAAAAGGACCCCAATGGAAATAAGTCTCTTTGTCTGACTGTTGTGGGTTATCCCAGGTTCTCTCCACATATGCTGCTATGTAGGATAATATATGTAACTGTATATGTGTATACCTGAATAAACTTACTAGGTGCCCCGGTGGCCTGGAGTTTACCTGGAGTTTACCTGGAGTTTACCTGGAGAGAGTTCCGGGGGTCAACGCCCCCGCGGCCCGGTCTATGACCAGGCCTCCTGGTGGATCAGAGCCTGATCAACCAGGCTGTTGCTACTGGCTGCACGCAAACCAACGTACGAGCCACAGCCCGGCTGATCAGGAACTGACTTTAGGTGCGTGTCCAGTGCCAGCTTGAAGACTGCCAGGGGTCTGTTGGTAATCCCCCTTATGTATGCTGGGAGGCAGTTGAACAGTCTTGGGCCCCTGACACTTATTGTATGGTCTCTTAACGTGCTAGTGACACCCCTGCTTTTCATTGGGGGGATGTTGCATCGTCTGCCAAGTCTTTTGCTTTCATAGTGAGTGATTTTCGTGTGCAAGTTCGGTACTAGTCCCTCTAGGATTTTCCAGGTGTATATAATCATGTATCTCTCCCTCCTGTGTTCTAGGGAATACAGGTTTAGGAACCTCAAGCGCTCCCAGTAATTGAGGTGTTTTATCTCCGTTATGCGCACCGTGAAAGTTCTCTGTACATGTTCTAGGTCGGCAATTTCACCTGCCTTGAAAGGTGCTGTTAGTGTGCAGCAATATTCCAGCCTAGATAGAACAAGTGACCTGAAGAGTGTCATCATGGCCTGGTGACTAAAGGTCTCGCTTCACACACGGAGGGCCTGGGTTCGATTCCCGGCGGGTGGAAACATTTCGACACGTTCCCTTACACCTGTTGTCCTATTCACCTAGCAGCAAATAGGTACCTGGGTGTTAGTCGACTGGTGTGGGTCGCATCCTGGGGGACAAGATTAAGGACCCCAATGGAAATAAGTTAGACAGTCCTCGATGACGCACTGACTTTCTTGGGTTATCCTGGGTGGCTAACCTTCCGGGGTTAAAAATCCGAACGAAATCTTATCTTAAATTTGAATCAGTATGAGATGTGGCAGCCTGGTGGTTTGCAAGAGTGACGGCAAGAATGACATTTTCTCTAGTCCAAGATCAGAGCTGTGTACAATATACTATTACTGGGATAACTCTAGAAAAACATTCTTCACTTGTGTAGCGACATCACTCTAAATTTGTACATGAGAATGGAATATTGCTGTTATTTATTCCACTGCACTAATGTGAAGACAACTGAACGCAATATAAGGTGTTTGTAGTGTGGAGAAAACATTTCACAGCTGTATGAATAATGTGAATTGACCGTGAATGGAAATAAGTATGTGTATACCTGAATAAACTTACTTAACACGAAGTGGACAGGTCAGACATGTTTGTCTGGCCGCCCTCAGTTTACACTAACTTTGTTTACATTATCCACGTCTCTCGTTTAAAATAATGATAATAACTGATATAAAGAGGAGTCGTAACTCTCTTACTTTAAATGCCAAGTTAAAAATGACTAAACTCAGTTAACAAGATATAAAGATGACAATAATAATACATACTCACCTCTCATCCTACAATACATTAACACAAATAAATTCAATAATTCAACTTATGAAACAGTAATTAAATAATGTGTGTAAATATCTTGGCCTGACTGTGCCTAGCTTATTTAATTCATTGTAGCAAGTTGGATAAGGCAAATCCTAGCCTAACTTTATGTAATTTGAAATTAGTGTGCACTATAGCCAAATCTGGCTTTGAAATTCACTGTAAATGTTAACCAGGTTAAATTTGATCTAGCCGTTATAACTAGTTAGTTAGTTAGTTTAATATGTTTATTATGCACCCCATACCCATCCTGTGGGCGGTAGTCAAAAGATTACAGAGGTACATAATTGGTCCAGGGACTGGACTCCAAAGTTTTGATAGCTGAGCAAGTTACAGAGGTAATGAACTCACAATTTACAAAGGTAATGAACTCACAATTTACAAAGGTAATGAACTCACAATTTACAAAGGTAAGTCTCCAGGTAAGTCTGGTCACAATCATGACAAGTTACAAAGGTATTTACAGATTACAGAGGTACGTAATGGGTCCAGGGACTGGGCCCCCAAAGTTTTGATAGCTGAACTAGGTACAAAGGTAATGAGCTCACAAGTTACAAAGGTAATGAATTCTGTAGAATGGTTACTTACTTTTATACTTTGGCTACAATCATGAACAAATTATAGAGTAATGAGCAATTCACACTTCCACACCCGGTCACAACTGTAATGAGTTATTGGTGCAAATATTGATTGTTGAGTCACACACACCACACACACACACACACACACACACACACACACACACACACACACACACACACACACACACTTTAGTTTAATAACTGCTGTAAATATTGCAGACGCCTGACCCTAACTGGCTACCTTGCAAATCCACTGTAAATAATTAAATATATAAGTTTCCTACCCTGGCTTACTTGTATTCACTGTAATTCAATTCACTAGCTTAACTAGCCTACATGGCCTGCCTGCAAATTACTGTAAATAATTTACAAGCTTAACTAACATACTCTGGCCTGCCTGTAAACCACTAAGTAATTAAATTTACAAGCTCAACTAGCCTACTCTGGCCTGCCTGTAAATTACTGTAAATAACTGGATTTACAAGCTAAACTAGCCTACTCTGGCCTGCCTGTAAACTACTGTGAGTAGCTAGCTTGGCCTAGCCCAACTTGTGTAATGCTCTCGGCCTAAGCGTGCTAACTTAACCTAACTTTTGTTAATCCCCGGTACAATAACTGTGGCCTAGCTAAGTTAAGACCAATCTGTCTGCTAAATTAGCTACTCCACATCTTTATTTCAAAGGACCAGTGTGGAAATTTGCCTGGACTGCCTCCAGGTGAGATACTTACCCTAGCAGGTGCTGTTCACACAGACCCCGAGAATAGTTCTCAGTCTCACAAGTGGCTTATAGGACACTTTTCCATGTATAACTGAACTCGCAAGAAAAAATTCCCAACTACATGCACGAATAAAAGGGCTGTCTTACTTGGTGGAGAAGAATATGTCACCAGGGTCTTCCAATCTCCCCAAGACTTAGGCATCTCTGGTCTTTCATCTTCAAGACACCACGTGCAGTGAAGGACTTAATTTCTGCAAGTATTGAAAATGTATTAGTGTTCTGCCTGCACCTCAGAGCTCCCTGATTTCAAAGGATATTCCATAAACTATATTTATGCAGTGACACTAGCTTCCAGATTAATACTTAAGGGGAGATGCCCACAATTATTATCTTACAGTGGGCGTTCACCCGCTTATAACCCACAACTTAAATGACCCGCCTTTCTCAGAACATCGCCGGCCAGCTGTACTAATGGGGCTTGGATAGAGACGAATATCCACAGTACGTCAGGAAGCCTCTATGATTCTTTATTCCACAGGCCAAGTATTTTGGAGACACGTGGGGCACCGAGCTGTAGCTCCGGGTACTGTTGTCACCACGGTGTCCAGTTCAAGAAGGGATACCTGGTGTCTCTCTCCGCCTAATTCAAGCATGGAGTTGCTAGTTCTCCTTGGCTAACATAACCTAATATTCACCTATATTAAAAGCCTAAGCCTTCCTATGTTAAGGCCCTAGGATTACATTATTAATATCTAAAGTTGCCTCAATAATCGTAATATTAGTTACTAACTGTATAAACCTACCTACACCTTCCTTGAAGGGTTAATTTATCAATTAATAATAAAGCATTACTACGTACTCACCTATTTGTACTCACCTATTTGTGGTTGCAGGGGTCGATTCACAGCTCCTGGCCCCGCCTCTTCGCTGATTGCTACTAGGTCCTCTCTCTCCCTGCCCCATGAGCTCTATCATACCTCGCCTTAAAACTATGTATGGTTCCCGCCTCCACTACGTCACTTTCTAGGCTATTCCACGGCCTGACTACTCTATGACTGAAGAAATACTTCCTAACATCCCTTTGATTCATCTGAGTCTTCAACTTCCAATTGTGACCTCTTGTGTCTGTGTCCCTTCTCTGGAACATCCCGTCTTTGTCCACCTCGTCTATTCCGCGCAGTATTTTATATGTCGTTATCATGTCTCCCCTGACCCTCCTGTCCTCCAGTGTCGTCAGGCCGATTTCCCTCAACCTTTCTTCGTAGGACAATCCCCGTAGCTCTGGGACTAGTCTTGTTGCAAACCTTTGCACTTTCTGTAATTTCTTGACGTGCTTGACTAGGTGTGGATTCCAAACTGGTGCTGCATACTCCAGTATGGGCCTGACGTAGATGGTATACAGAGTCTTAAACGAATCCTAACTGCGGTATCGGAACGCTATCCGTAGGTTTGCCAGGCGCCCGTATGCTGCAGCAGTTATCTGACTGATGTGCGCCTCAGGAGATATGCTCGGTGTTATACTCACCCCCAGGTCTTTTTCCTTGAGTGAGGTTTGCAGTCTTTGGCCATCTAAACTATATTGTGTCTGCGGTCTTCTTTGCCCTTCCCCAATCTTCATGACTTTGCATTTGGCAGGGTTAAATTCAAGGAGCCAGTTGCTGGACCAGGCTTGTAGCCTGTCCAGGTCTCTTTGTAGTCCTGCCTGATCCTCATCCGATTTGATTCTTCTCATTAACTTCGCATCATCTGCAAACAAGGACACTTCTGAGTCTATCCCTTCAGTTATGTCGTTCACATATACCAAGAACAGCACAGGTCCTAGGACTGACCCCTGTGGAACCCCGCTTGTCACAGGCGCCCACTCTGACACCTCGTCGCGTACCATGACTCGTTGTTGCCTCCCTGACAGGTATTCTCTGATCCATTGCAGTGCCTTTCCTGTTATGTGTGCCTGATCCTCTAGCTTTTGCAGGAACCTCTTGTGAGGAACTGTGTCGAAGGCCTTCTTGCAGTCCAAAAATATGCAGTCGATCCACCCCTCTCTCTCTTGTCTTACTTCTGTCACCTTGTCATAAAACTCTAGTAGGTTTGTGACACAGGATTTTCCTTCCCTGAAACCGTGCTGGTTGTCAATTATACACTTGTTTCTTTCCAGGTGCCCCACCACTCTCCTCCTGATGATCTTCTCCATGACCTTGCGTACTATACACGTTAGTGATACAGGTCTGTAGTTTAGTGCCTCATGTCTGTCTCCCTTTTTAAAAATTGGGACTACATTTGCCATTTTCCATACCTCAGGAGTTGCCCAGTTTCAAATGATGTGTTGAAGATCTTTGTTAATGGCTCACACAATATCTCTGCTCCCTCTTTAAGGACCCATGGAGAGATGTTGTCTGGTCCCACCGCCTTTGAGGTGTCAAGTTCGCATAGCAGCTTCTTCACCTCCTCCTTGGTTATATGTACCTCATCCAGCACTTGCTGGTGTGCCCCCCTGTTCTGATTTCTTGGAGTCCTACTGGTTTCCACTGTAAATACCTCTTTAAATCTTGTGTTGAGCTCCTGACATACCTCTCGGTCGTTTCATGTGAATTCCCCATCACCCTTCCTCAGTCTGATTACCTGGTCCTTGACTGTTGTTTTCCTCCTGATGTGGCTGTACAACAGCTTCGGGTCAGTCTTTACTTTTGATGCTATGTCATTTTCATATTGTCTCTGAGCCTCCCTTATCTGTGCATATTCGTTTCTGGCTCTTCGGCTGATTTCTTTATTTTCCTGAGTTTTCTGTCTTCTGTACCTTTTCCATTCTCTAGTACACCTAGTTTTTGCCTCCCTACACCTTTGGGTGAACCAAGGACTCGTTCTGTTCTTCCCATTATTTCTGTTTCCCTTGGGAACAAACCTCTCCTCTGCCTCCTTGCATTTTGTTGCTACATAGTCCATCATTTCTTGTACTGGTTTTCCTGTCAGTTCCCTCTCCCACTGAATGTCTTGAAGGAAGTTCCTCATGCCTGAGTAGTTCCCCCTTATGTAGTTTGGTTTTTCCCAGCCTATTCCTGCTACTCTCTCCACTTGGAGCTCAACTATGTAGTCGAAGCACAGAACCACATGATCACTAGCTCCCAGAGGCCTTTCATACATGATACCCTCGATGTCCGAACTACTCATGGTGAATACAAGGTCCAGTCTTGCTGGTTCATCCTCTCCTCTCTCTCTGGTAATGTCTCTAACATGTTGATGCATGAGGTTTTCCAGTACCACATCCATCATCTTTGCTCTCCATATTTCGGGACCCCCATGGGGCTCCAGGTTTTCCCAGTCAATCTCCTTGTGATTGAAATCACCCATAACTATTAACTTTGCTCCTCCCATGTGTGCTCTCCTGGCTACCTCGGCTAGTGTGTCGATCATTGCTCTGTTGATCTCATCATATTCTTCTCTTGGCCTCCTGCAGTTCTGTGGTGGGTTGTACAGTACTGCAATTATCACCTTATGTCCCTCAGACTGGATTGTTCCTACTAAGTAGTCCCTTTCGCCCATGCCATCCATTCCTTCCATTTTCTCAAAACCCCACTGGTTTTTAATGAGCAGTGCAACTCCTCCTCCCCCTCTCTTCCCTCTGTCTTTCCTGAGGATTTGTTATCCGGATGGAAAGATTGAACCTGTTATTATTCTGGTGAGTTTTGTTTCTGTGAGTGCTATTATGTCTGGGGATGTCTCTTTGATTCTTTCGTGCCACTCCTCATACTGGTTTGTTATTCCATCTGCATTTGTATACCACACCTTCAACTTCTTTTCTAAGACTGTGGTCTGGGAGGTATATTGGGGTTGGGGAAGTGGGAGACCTGGTAAGGAACTATGGGTTGTTGCTGTGGGGGTGGAGTTTGTAATGTAGTGGGTAGGGGCATTGGATGTGGCATGGGTGTTTTGATTTAGAGTGTTTGGTTGCACTGGGGTTGACCTGGTTGGGAGGCTTCTATAGGAAGTTGTGAGGGAGGCTGCATTTGATCTTCTTCCTGTGTGTGTGTGTGTGTGTGTGTGTGTGTGTGTGTGTGTGTGTGTGTGTGTCAACAATTAATATTTGCACCAATAACTCATTACAACTGTGACCAGGTATGGACGTGTGAATTGCTCATTACTCTATAATTTGTTAATAATTGTAGCCATGTATAAACGTAAGTAAATTTACTTACATGATTCATTAACTTAGTAACTTGCCATAATACCAACTTACTCCATAATTTGTAATAATCTAGAATTAAGAATTAATCTAAGTTTGCCCGAAATGCCTAGCCATGCTAGGTGTCCTAGTGGCCCCCTCTGTAATTAGTATTTTATAACATGTAAACCACACAATACCCAAAACCTGTAAACCCCACATTGTAACCCTTATAGAGAATAAACTTGATTGATTGATTGTTCAGCTATCAAAACTACGGGGAGTCCAGTCCCTGGACCCATTATGTACCTCTGTAATCTTTTGACTACCACCCACAGGATGGGTATGGCTACCGCCCACAGGATGGGTATGACTACCGCCCACAGGATGGGTATGACTACCGCCCACAGGATGGGTATGACTACCTCCCACAGGATGGGTATGACTTCCTCCCACAGGATGGGTATGACTACCTCCCACAGGATGGGTATGACTACCACCCACAGGATGGGTATGACTACCTCCCACAGGATGGGTATGACTACCTCCCACAGGATGGGTATGACTACCTCCCACAGGATGGGTATAACTACTTCCCACAGGATGGGTATGACTACCGCCAACAGGATGGGTATGACTACCTCCCACAGGATGGGTATGACTACCTCCCACAGGATGGGTATGACTACCTCCCACAGGATGGGTATGACTACCACCCACAGGATGGGTATGACTACCTCCCACAGGATGGGTATGACTACCTCCCACAGGATGGGTATGACTACCTCCCACAGAATGGGTATGACTACCGCCCACAGGATGGGTATGACTACAGCCCACAGGATGGGTATGACTACCGCCCACAGGATGAGTATGGGAGTGCATAATAAACTAAAAACTACGTACCATCTCGCTACCTTCGTCAGTGTTTGTTTTGGGTGGATGTGAGGGTCGCAAAAACTCAAGAGAACCTATCCGAGGTATGTTAGGGGTTTCTTCAGCTCATACAGTGCGAACCTGTATGTGAGATATTTTTTTGTGAGAAATGGTTTGAAACCGACAAGTTGAAGATTGACACACTTATACACCATATGGGAATCTTTATTGAAGAAACTTTTCGCCACACAGTGGCTTCATCAGTCCAATACAAAGCAGAAGGGTATAAGGAGAGGAGGAGTTTGAGGTAATGAGTCCCTCAGCCTGGAGTTGATGTGTTCAGTCAAATAATCTTTTAGAAAGTACAATATAGGGCCGTAGACGTGGCTTATATACTGTAGTCAGGTGAGGCGAAGCAGGAGGAGGCGGGGTCATAATGGTACCATAAGTGTCACAATCTTCAACTTGTCAGTTTCAAAACATTTACCACATCATAACCAACACATAACCAAAAAAGTATCCAAAATGGTTGGGATCCTCTCCAAGATACGATACTACCAGCAGCCAGCAGCAACAGCCTGGTTGATCAGGCGCTGATCCACCAGGAGGCCTGGTCACAGACCGGGCCGCGGGGGCGTTGACCCCCGAAACTCTCTCCAGGTAAACTCCAGGTAACGTGCCGCAAAATGCCCTTCTCACACTATACCACTCACTTATTTATCCATACCTCACCTATGCTATTTGTGCTTGGGGATCAACTGCAGCAACACACCTAAAGCCAATAATAACCCAACAAAAAGCTGCAGTAAGAGTAATCACTAAATCCCATCCCTGACAACATCCCCCCCCACTCTTCATAGATCTAAACTTACTCCCTGTTCAGTACATCCATACTTACTGTGCAATCTACATCTACAGGACCTTAAACTCCAATATCAACCTTGACCTAAAATGCTTTCTTGATAGTTGTGACAGAACCCACAGGTATAACACCAGACAAACATCCCTACAGCATTCCCCGTGTCCGACTAAACCTTTACAAAAATTCAATGTATGTCAAAGGCCCTAAAATCTGGAACACCCTACCTGAGAACTCTAGAACTGCAGACACATTCATCACCTTCAAAACTACCATTAGAAAACGTCTTATCTCCCTGATACACCCCGTCAACTAACTACACGAATACCACCTGGTGGTTCACACTTACACTCACCCATTTGACCATAAACAGAAATATTAATCTCAATCTTAAAATAATGAATCCTGTGATACTCCAATACTGAAACTATGTACTGTGCCAAAACAAAAACATTCACATTGCTAAACTCACAAACTAGTATTTAGTCACTTAGCCATAATACCAACTTACCTCATAATTTGTAATATTTTAAAATTAAGAATTAAACTAAGTCTGCCCGAAATGCCTAGCCATGCTAGGTGTTCTAGTGGTACACTCTGTAATTATTATTTTACTACATGTAAACCACACAGTAACCAAATTCTGTAAACTCAGCATTGTAATCCTCATAGATAATAAATTTTGAATTTGAATTTGAATTTGAATTTGAATCTGTCAGACACTGCAACATTATGGGATCCTGCTATAAAGAATTCTCCAACTTGTCCAACCTTCGGACGAAGACTTTCTTCGACTAGTGGATGGTACCACTATGATCCCGCCTCCTCCTGCTTCACCTTACCTGACTACAGTATATAAGCCACTTCTACGGCTCTATACTGCACCAGATGAACTGACCAGAAGAGTGCTTGAGCAGTGTACGTTGCATCATTGTAGAAACCTTTCTCCCTCGGGAGCCAGAGACGGGTCAACCCAAGATTAAGACCCGTGCCAGGACTCCGGTCCTGGCGAACATCCTGTCTCTGTCCACCTGATACATACTATACTGTACTTTCTACAAGATTGATGGACTGAACACATCAACTCCAGGCTGAGGGACTCATTACCTCAAACTCCTCTCATTACACCCTTCTGCTTTGTATTGGACTGATGAAGCCACTGTGTGGCGAAACGTTTCTTCAATAAAGATTCCCATATGTTGCATAAGGAAATATTTTTTGGGGACCAAATAAGTTTCCACAACCAGTAAGCCAGCTTAAGGCCTCGGTCAGATGACCATAAACTGCAGCTGTGGGTTTGCAGTTTGGAATGTCAGGAAACACTTACCGTGTTTTATGACAATCCTTACCTAACCTAAGCTAGCCAGCGCTTCAGATTCATCAGTACTGTGGTACTGAACACCTGCTTCTAGGCTGAGGGACTGATTACCTCATCTACCCTCTTCAGTCTTCTGTATTGTATTGATAAAGACAGTCAGATGTTGCACAAGTGTCTAAGTCATCATTGGAAAATTTAATGTTATTTCTTTTATATATAAGCTCATACCAGTGACTTAAATTAATGTTTATTGTTGTGTCTTCCTGTGTGCCGTCCTGGTTGTCTTCCTGCCTGCCCTGCTACCCACCTGTCTGCCCTGCTACCCACCTGTCTGCCCTGCTACCCACCTGTCTGCCCTGCTACCCACCTGTCTGCCCTGCTACCACCTGTCTGCCCTGCCCAACCACCTGTCTGCCCTGCTACCCACCTGTCTGCCCTGCTACCCACCTGCCTGGGGTGTCTGGCTCCTGCCTGCCCTGCTACCCACCTGTCTGCCCTGCTACCCACCTGTCTGCCCTGCTACCCACCTGTCTGCCCTGCTACCCACCTGTCTGCCCTGCCCACCACCTGTCTGCCCTGCTACCCACCTGTCTGCCCTGCTACCCACCTGCCTGGGGTGTCTGGCTCCTGCCTGCCCTGCTACCCACCTGCCTGGGGTGTCTGGCTCCTGCCTGCCCTGCTACCCACCTGCCTGGGGTGTCTGGCTCCTGCCTGCCCTGCTACCCACCTGCCTGGGGTGCCTGGCTCCTGCCTGCCCTGCTACCCACCTGTCTGTGGTGTCTGGCTCCTGCCTGCCCTGCTACCCACCTGTCTGTGGTGTCTGGCTCCTGCCTGCCCTGCTACCCACCTGTCTGTGGTGTCTGGCTCCTGCCTGCCCTGCTACCCACCTGTCTGTGGTGTCTGGCTCCTGCCTGCCCTGCTACCCACCTGTCTGTGGTGTCTGGCTCCTGCCTGCCCTGCTACCCACCTGCCTGGGGTGTCTGGCTCCTGCCTACCCTGCTACCCACCTGTCTGTGGTGTCTGGTTTCTGCCTGCCTGCCCTGATACCCACTTGTCTGTGGTGTCTGGCTTCTGCCTGCCTGCCCTACGACCCACCTGTCTGTGGTGTCTGGCTCCTGCCTGCCTGCCCTGCTACCCACCTGTCTGTGGTGTCTGGCTCCTGCCTGCCCTGCTACCCACCTGCCTGGGGTGTCTGGCTCCTGCCTACCCTGCTACCAACCTGTCTGTGGTGTCTGGCTCCTGCTTGCCCTGCTACCCACCTGTCTGTGGTGTCTGGCTCCTTCCTGCCCTGCTACCCACCTGTCTGTGGTGTCTGGCTCCTGCCTGCCCTGCTACCCACCTGTCTGTGGTGTCTGGCTCCTGCCTGCCCTGCTACCCACCTGCTTGGGGTGTCTGGCTCCTGCCTGCCCTGCTACTCACCTGTCTGTGGTGTCTGGCTCCTGCCTGCCCTGCTACCCACCTGTCTGTGGTGTCTGGCTCCTGCATGCCCTGCTACCCACCTGTCTGTGGTGTCTGGCTCCTGCCTGCCCTGCTACCCACCTGTCTGTGGTGTCTGGCTCCTGCCTGCCCTGCTACCCACCTGTCTGTGGTGTCTGGCTCCTGTCTGCCCTGCTACCCACCTGTATGTGGTGTCTGGCTCCTGCCTGCCCTGCTACCCACCTGTCTGTGGTGTCTGGCTCCTGCCTGCCCTGCTAACCCACCTGCCTGTGGTGTCTGGCTCCTGCCTGCCCTGCTACCCACCTGTCTGTGGTGTCTGGCTCCTGCCTGCCCTGCTACCCACCTGCCTGTGGTGTCTGGCTCCTGCCTGCCCTGCTACCCACCTGTCTGTGGTGTCTGGCTCCTGCCTGCCCTGGCTCTACCCACCTGCCTGTGGTGTCTGGCTCCTGCCTGCCCTGCTACCCACCTGTCTGTGGTGTCTGGTTTCTGCCTGCCTGCCCTGATACCCACTTGTCTGTGGTGTCTGGCTTCTGCCTGCCTGCCCTACGACCCACCTGTCTGTGGTGTCTGGCTCCTGCCTGCCTGCCCTGCTACCCACCTGTCTGTGGTGTCTGGCTTCTGCCTGCCTGCCTGCCCTACGACCCACCTGTCTGTGGTGTCTGGCTCCTGCCTGCCCTGCTACCCACCTGTCTGTGATGTCTGGCTCCTGCCTGCCTGCCCTGATACCCACCTGTCTGTGGTGTCTGGCTTCTGCCTTCCTGCCCTACCACCCACCTGTTTGTGGTGTCTGTCTCCTGCCTGCCTGCCTGCCTTGCTACCCACCTGTCTGCGGTGTCTGGCTCCTGCCTACCTGCCCTGCTACCCACCTGTCTGTGGTGTTTGGCTTCTGCCTACCTGCCCTACGACCCACCTGTCTGCGGTGTCTGGCTCCTGACTGCCTGCCCTGCTACCCACCTGTCTGCGGTGTCTGTCTCCTGCCTGTCTGCCTGCCTTCCTAACTGTCTGCGGTGCCTATCTTCTGCCTGCCTGTCCTTCCATGGGTACGTGTGGTGGGAGTGCACAGGCTTGCCCAGACGGTGAAGCTGCTGATGGCCATAGCTGTGTACATGACGTACCCACTACAGATGTACGTACCAGTGGAGATACTGCTGCCAGCAGTCACCAGACACTTCCATACTAAGTGTACCAAGACAATAGCCGAATATGTCTTCAGGACCGCCATGGTCCTGCTTACCTGTGAGTTAACTTTATTGTATGGAGGGAGAGAGAGTTTTATCATAATTTTGGTAATTCATCATCAGTTACCCAAGAAAATCTTGACGTTTTATGGGATACCATTTACGAATATCTCATTTCTTTCATAAAATTATTAATAATAAAAAAAATAAGGCACAATACCGTGACTGGAGCGATACACAAATAACCCGCACATAAAAGAGAGAAGCTTATGACGACATTTCGGTCCGACTTGGACCATTGACAAAGTCACACTAATCAGAAGTGGAGCAGGACGGCTATATATAGGCAGGAAGAGGTGGTGGTAGTAGTAGTAGTATTACAAGAATGGTATATAATACCGACAAGATGAAATTAAGACACATGCGCAACACCCGGGCATCCCTATCGTAGACGTTTCGCCATCCAGCCAGCCACTGGATGGCGAAACGTCCACAACAAAGACAACCAGACGCCGCACATGTGTCTTAATGTCATCAGTAGTAGTAGTAGAAGAGGTAGTAGTAGTGGTAGTGGTAGAAGTGGGAAATAAGGAGGACCAGCCAGTCAAATACAAAGGAAGGGGAGCACTGCAAGGGAGCTAGGTGCCCACTGAGGGAGAGCAAGTGCACAGAGGTGCGTGAAAGGGAAAGTGGTGAAATAAATGAAGAAGGAACAGAAACACGAGACAGAAGAGAGAAAGACAACCCAGAGGAGAAAAGGAAAGAGGAAAGGGGAAGAGGGAGAAGAAGAAAAAGAAAAGAAAAAATAAGTCACGGGTGTTCTGAAGTTTGGAGCATTTTACAATGTAGTGGGAGAGGAAGGCATCTACAGAGACGAAGCCAGGGCTAAGGTTCATACAAGGAAAGTTGTGTATTAGAGAGGATTCAACTAGACGGCGACTGTTCGAGTTGGAAGTAGGGAAGACAGTTTTAGCAGAAGACCAGTCAATAGGATGGCTATGATCTCTGACATGACAGAAAAGAGCATTGTTAGTGTCGGCAAGCCTAACACTATTTTTGTGCTCCCTAAGTCCATTACCTGTCGAGCTCAGAACAGCTGACACCCGCACTTACATCCTCATCACACAATATGTCACTGTCCTTGGCGTTAATCTTGACTACCTTCTTCGTTTACTCGGACACATTCACTCAAGGCATGCAGTAGCTAGTAAGGCCCTTGCGGTCCTCTACAAGCTGAAACATGCCTCTCAGCGCACCAAACTACACCTCTACAAATCCCTAATACGTCCTCTGATAACTTACTCTCCTCTAGCCCTCTCTCTTGCAGCAAAAACAAACTTACTTAAACTGCAGCGTGTCCAGAACAAGGCACTGCGCTGGGTGCTTGATGTCAGATGGGAGGACTTCGCCACAAGCGAGTCTCTCCATGCGCAATTAGACATCCCTGCGCTGAATCTGTACTGGAAGACGCTCAGTGAGAGACAGATGGACAGACTTGAGACACGACATGACTACTGGACCTCTCTCTTTGACGAAGACATTCGCAGATCCACAAACCAACACAACCTATTTCTACTCCTTGCATGATCCTTCTCCTAACCCATTTACAATAACCGTGGATTCGCTGACAGGTACCTTATATGACAGGTACATTCTCTGACCCACATTCGCCTTAGCTTTTGGGATAAGACATGGCCCAGTTCTACATCCTCTCGAGCGCTAAAACGTCGCATGTCCCTTCCTTCCCGCACTACCCAGGGAGTCCTAACAGAAGAGCCTGAATTCTCTTCTCATTATCTGTCCACGATGCCTCGCTGCGGTTAAGCCCTGGCTCTAATTTCTACGATAAGAATACTCCTCTCCAGCACTATTCTTCGTCTGTCCTGTCTTCCCCGCTCATCCATTTGGGATTTACCTGAACTTTGATCGTTCGTTTACTTCTGATTAGTGTGACTTTGTCAAGGGTTTCAAGTCGGACCGAAACTCGTCGTAAGCTTCTCTCTTTATGTGCATTTTTGTGTCAAATATTAATAAAGTTATTAATGTATATCTTAATATTTTTGCAGTTCTGTTAACGATCATATTATAGAGACCTGAATAACCCGTTAATATAAGGGATAACTACTGTAGACAGTGTAATGGATAACTACTGTAGACAGTGTAAGGGATAACTACTGTAGACAGTGTAAGGGATAACTACTGTAGACAGTGTAAGGATAACTACTGTAGACAGTATAAGGGATAACTACTGTAGACAGTATAAGGATAACTACTGTAGACAGTGTAAGGATACTACTGTAGACAGGTAAGGGATAACTACTGTAGACAGTATAAGGGATAACTACTGTAGACAGTGTAAAGGGATAACTACTGTAGACAGTGTAAGGGATAACTACTGTAGACAGTATAAGGGATAACTACTGTAGACAGTGTAAGGGATAACTACTGTAGACAGTGTAAGGGATAACTCTGTAGACAGTATAAGGGATAACTACTGTAGACAGTATAAGGGATAACTACTGTAGACAGTGTAAGGATAACTACTGTAGACAGTATAAGGGATAACTACTGTAGACAGTGTAAGGGATACTACTGTAGACAGTGTAAGGATAACTACTGTAGACAGTGTAAGGGTAACTACTGTAGACAGTGTAAGGGATAACTACTGTAGACAGTAAAAGGGATAACTACTGTAGACAGTATAAGGGATAACTACTGTAGACAGTATAAGGGATAACTACTGTAGACAGTGTAAGGATAACTACTGTAGACAGCGTAAGAATAACTACTGTAGACAGTGTAAGGGATAACTAACTGTATGACAGTGTAAGGGATAACTACTGTAGACATGGTAATGGGATAACTACTGTAGACAGTATGAGGGATAACTACTGTAGACAGTGTAATGGATAACTACTGTAGACAGTGTAAGGACAACTACTGTAGACAGTGTAAGGGATAACTACTGTAGACAGTGTAAGGGATAACTACTGTAGACAGTATAAGGGATAACTACTGTAGACAGTGTAAGGGATAACTACTGTAGACAGTGTAAGGGATAACTACTGTAGACAGTAAAAGGGATAACTACTGTAGACAGTGTAAGGGATAACTACTGTAGACAGTGTAAGGGATAACTACTGTAGACAGTATAAGGGATAACTACTGTAGACAGTATAAGGATAACTACTGTAGACAGTGTAGGGATAACTACTGTAGACAGTATAAGGGATAACTACTGTAGACAGTGTAAGGGATAACTACTGTAGACAGTGTAAGGGATAACTACTGTAGACAGTGTAAGGGATAACTACTGTAGACAGTGTAAGGGATAACTACTGTAGACAGTAAAAGGGATAACTACTGTAGACAGTATAAGGGATAACTACTGTAGACAGTATAAGGGATAACTACTGTAGACAGTGTAAGGGATAACTACTGTAGACAGTATAAGGGATAACTACTGTAGACAGTGTAAGGGATAACTACTGTAGACAGCGTAAGGAATAACTACTGTAGACAGTGTAAGGGATAACTACTGTAGACAGTGTAAGGGATAACTACTGTAGACAGTGTAAGGGATAACTACTGTAGACAGTATGAGGGATAACTACTGTAGACAGTGTAATGGATAACTACTGTAGACAGTGTAAGGGACAACTACTGTAGACAGTGTAAGGGATAACTACTGTAGACAGTGTAAGGGATAACTACTGTAGACAGTATAGGGATAAACTACTGTAGACAGTGTAAGGGATAACTACTGTAGACAGTGTAAGGGATAACTACTGTAGACAGTATAAGGGATAACTACTGTAGACAGTGTAAGGGATAACTACTGTAGACAGTGTAAGGGATAACTACTGTAGACAGTATAAGGGATAACTACTGTAGACAGTATAAGGGATAACTACTGTAGACAGTGTAAGGGATAACTACTGTAGACAGTATAAGGGATAACTACTGTAGACAGTGTAAGGGATAACTACTGTAGACAGGGGTAAGGGATAACTACTGTAGACAGTGTAAGGATAACTACTGTAGACAGTGTAAGGGATAACTACTGTAGACAGTAAAAGGGATAACTACTGTAGACAGTATAAGGGATAACTACTGTAGACAGTATAAGGGATAACTACTGTAGACAGTGTAAGGGATAACTACTGTAGACAGCGTAAGGGATAACTACTGTAGACAGTGTAAGGGATAACTACTGTAGACAGTGTAAGGGATAACTACTGTAGACAGTGTAAGGGATAACTACTGTAGACAGTATAAGGGATAACTACTGTAGACAGTGTAATGGATAAATCACTGTAGACAGTGTAAGGGACAACTACTGTAGACAGTGTAAGGGATAACTACTGTAGACAGTGTAAGGGATAACTACTGTAGACAGTGTAAGGGATAACTACTGTAGACAGTGTAAGGGATAACTACTGTAGACAGTATAAGGGATAACTACTGTAGACAGTATAAGGGATAACTACTGTAGACAGTGTAAGGGATAACTACTGTAGACAGTGTAAGCGATAACTACTGTAGACAGTGTAAGGGATAACTACTGTGGACAGTATAAGGGATAACTACTGTAGACAGCGTAAGGGATAACTACTGTAGACAGTGTAAGGGATAACTACTGTAGACAGTATAAGGGATAACTACTGTAGACAGTGTAAGGGATAACTACTTTTAGACAGTATAAGGGATAACTACTGTAGACAGTGTAAGGGATAACTACTGTAGACAGCGTAAGGGATAACTACTGTAGACAGCGTAAGGGATAACTACTGTAGACAGTATAAGGGATAACTACTGTAGACAGTGTAAGGGATAACTACTGTAGACAGTGTAAGGGATAACTACTGTAGACAGTGTAAGGGATAACTACTGTAGACAGTGTAAGGGATAACTACTGTAGACAGTATAAGGGATAACTACTGTAGACAGTGTAAGGGATTACTGTAGACAGTATAAGGAATAACTACTGTAGACAGTATAAGGGATAACTACTGTAGACAGTATAAGGGATAACTACTGTAGACAGTGTAAGGGATAACTACTGTAGACAGTATAAGGGATAACTACTGTAGACAGTATAAGGGATAACTATTTTAGACAGAATAAGATATATTAGACACTAATATAAGGGATAACTGTAGACACTAATATAAGGGATAACTGTAGACACTAATATAAGGGATAACTAATTTAAACACATTGATATGAGTGGTAACTACCAGACACATTAATATAAGGGGTAACTACTGTAAACACATTTTGATGTATCAGCAATTTATTTTATCAGTATACAGATGTGAAATATCTTCATTTTTCATTCATTTATTCTCTCTCTCCCCTTTCCCTCTTTCTCTCCCTGTCTCTGTCTCTCTCCCCTTCCCTCCCACCTCTCTCTCTCTCTCTGTTTCACCCAGTACAGTCGTGTTTGCTGCCTCTGTCCCCAACATCGGACTGTTTATCTCGCTGATCGGAGCTGTGAGCAGCTCAACACTGGCACTCGTCTTTCCTCCCATCATTGAACTCATCACCTTCTGGCCTGACACAGGAAGGTGCCACTGGGTCCTCGTCAAGGTGAATATTGGTATCATTGGTCAGGCGCCTCTGCTGTGAGATTGTAGAGAAGTAAGACAAGTCCAACAGTTAGGTATCTTTATCGATAATGTATTTTGCCTTCACTGTAAGTTCCTTCAGTCATATCCAGAGGTAATTAAATATTGGAGACAGAAGAAGCAGTAGAGAGGTAAAGATGAGGTGATCAGTCCCACATCTCTAACTTTCTACTGTTCCGGAGAAGGACTGTCACTCTTAACTTTATTCAGAACATTCACAAAACAGGTGGCATACAGGTAGCTGAGGTTATTCATTAGACAAAAATATAATAGGTGTCTGCCGCTGAGATATATATATTTGGTCTTACATAATATGATCAACATGTTGATTCCAGATCTGAAGTTAAAACTGAGCGAGCTCGTCAGGATTTTTAGTTATCGGAAATTATATAATTCCAGAAAAATGTTCATTCATGAATAATGTTCCATCAAAATTTACAGTACAAGTAATATTATGAGTCATTAAAAACTTCTTCCTTAATATAAAGTAACTGATAATGTGTCAAGGACATTAGTTGTCTGTTGTACCTTCCTGGAAAGTTCCTTCCTGGAAAGTTCCTTCCTGGAAAGTTCCTTCCTGGAAAGTTGTGGACAACTTGACTCAAGGTTTCCAGTGGAGTCATTTCCAGTTAGGTCAGTGTTGATAACAAGACTGACTCTTACATCACTTTATGTATTTGTGACCAAACACTCCAGTCAAAGTTTCGTGTCTGTTGAAACACCTTCAAAGTTTTCCCTAAGGTAAAGACATTGTGCATCTTCACCATTCATAACTTTTACAAAGTTTTTCATTAGGAATAAATATATTTTGAGGATGTATCAGTGACATGTTGAATTTTCCTGTACAAGAGTCTCTTCTTGTAGTGGTCAGCATGACTCACGAAATCGCAATGACACGATTGCAAACAAACCATACCACGGGCGGGATTTGAACCTGCGGTCTGGAGTTTTGAGACTCTCTGACCGCAGGTTCAAATCCCGCCCGTGGTATGGTTTGTAGTGGTTAGCATCGTCAAGGAAACGTATGTGTTTTGTGTAGCCAAACTGACGGCCAAGTATTTACACTATCACTTGTAGTTCCTCACCATGAGGCCTGGTCACAGACCGGGCCTCGGGGGCGTTGACCCCCGAAACCCTCTCCAGGTATACTCCAGGTATACTCCAGGTATACATATATTGTACTTGTGGTCGTTGTATTTTGTAAGTCTGACTTGAATTTCCCTGGACTGTTATGTTTCCTTTAATTCCACAACATAAACCACTGGCACAGATGACTTTCATTGTTGTTCTGAAGGAACACAGCTTTCATCTGAAAGAAGTGTTCCTTCACATCAACAATGAAAAGTCATCTGATGGAATTAGTGAATAGTCTATTCATCAGAATGGTGTTCACAGCCCAGTTCCTTCATGAGATCATTCACATCATGCGGAAATACACGTCATTCTCCATTAGATAGAATGCCGCCAAGCTTCGGATATTGACCACTGTCTGGAAAATCTCCCAACTCCTGCCCCAATTATTATTATTATAATCAAGGGGGAAGCGCTAAACCCGGAGGATTATACAGCGCCTGGGGGAGGGGGATGTGGAAGACATTCAGGCTTAATTCGGGGAACTGGAGCACAGATCCAATTCCCTAAATCAAGAGCCCCTCACCAACATCAAGGAACCTTCCTTGTGGGGACTCCTGCCCCAAACATCTTGCTACTGGGAGATTTTAACTTGAGACACTTAAAATGGAGGAGTGTAGTAAATATCTTAGCAGAGATCACCCCAGGAGGCAGCTCAGATGAAAAGTCACACACACACGACATATTAAATTTTTGCACCAAATTAATTTTAAATCAGAAGAGTACATTGAGAGACAACTCAATAAGTGTCCAGGGTCCAAGACTGTTCAACTGCCTCCCAGCATACATAAGGGGGATTACCAATAGACCCCTGGCTGTCTTCAAGAAGGCGCTGGACAGGCACTTAAGGTCAGTACCTGACCAACTGGGCTGTGGTCCGTACGTCAGCTTGCGTGCGGCCGGCAGTAACAGCCTGGTTGACCAGACCCTAATCCACCATGAGGCCTGGTCTTAGACCGAGCCGCTGGGGCGTTGACCCCCGAAACCCTCTCCAGGTAAACTCCAGGTAATTAGAGCCTAGAAAAAAAGCTGGACCTCATCTTCACTAACAACAACGATCTGATGTGATATAACTATATCAAAGATAATTCACTCATCTCACAACATAACAGAAGTACAGACATGTATACACTCGGCTCCTGACCAGTATAATGTGATCAGTTCTTAGGGTGTCTTTATAAAATTTAACTTCAATAATAAAAATATACATTCGGAACAAGTCAACTGGGAAGGTATCCTAAACAACACTGATTCGAAACTTTGCCTAGAAAAAATTAACTGTGGCACTTGAGATCTGCTCAAAGCACATTCAATTAAGATAAAGAGAAGATTTAATTAAGCTAGAAAGAGACGCTCCCTACACAGGCAAAGGCAAAGAATCACAGAGCTGCTGAGAGGGACGAATATATGTGAAATATAAAGGGAAGCACTGGTCAGAGAAATAGCAAATATCGAACTTAAGCTTAAGGAATCATACAGGAGATAAGAATATCAGGAAGAACCCAAAGTCATAAGAGAAACAAAGAAACCCAGAATACTTCTCTTATGCCAAATCTAAGGGAAAAAAAAGAACTCCAGTATTGGGCCCCTGGTTAGGCGAGATGAGACCTACACAGATGACAGCCAAGAAATGAGTGAGATAGTCAAGTCCCATTACGACTCTGTTTTCTGCAAACCTTTAACCAGACAGTCGACAATCTAAATGAAAAGGTTCTAAGAAGCAAAATCGCCACCTAGATACCCATCAATTACACAACCCATTGCAACACTGGTTTAGAACAGGTCCCTCCTGCTTGTCCCAGCTACTGGACCACTATGACAAGGTCCTGGATGCTATAGAGGATAAATATAATACAGATGTAGTATACAGTGATTTTGCAAAAGCCTTCGACATGTGCAACCATTTTGTAATAGCACACAAAATGTAATAAAAGAATAACACGAGAAGTTGGTAGATGGATCTATAATTTCCTAACAAATAGAACACAGTAATAGTAAATAGTAAAGTCTGAGGCAGCTACGGTGAAAAGCTCTGTTTCCACAAGGTACAGTGTTCTCCCCATCCTATTCCTCATGCTCACATCCGACAGAGATGTAAGCCATAGCTCCATGTCTTCCTTTGCAGATGACACCCGAATTGCCATGACAGTGACCTCCATCGAAGACACTGCAAGACTCCAAGCGGACATCAACCAAATGGGCCACTCAAAACTATATGAAGTCCAATGAAGAGAAATTTCAAGTACTCAGGAAAACTTGAGGAAATTAAAACTATCAGGGTATAAAACAAATTCTAATCATACAATAGAGCGAAAAAGTAATGTGATGGACCAGGGAGTGATTATGTCAGATGATCTCGCCTTTAAAAACCACAACAATATATCTACCGCATTTGCTAGAAATATGATAGGATGGATAATAACCTTCAAAACTAGAGTTATTTACCAGGGTTAACTTTCTAGTTGAAGAGTCAACATTTATGTACATCAATCTAACAATCTCATTAACACTGACACTAACACATTGGTACTGTCCATCACTGGCACTAACATATTGGTACTGTCCATCACTGGCACTAACACATGGTACTGTCCATCACTGGCACTAACACTTGGTACTGTCCATCACTGGCACTAACACATTGGTACTGTCCATCACTGGCACTAACACCTGGTACTGTCCATCACTGGCACTAACACCTGGTACTGTCCATCACTGGCACTAACACCTGGTACTGTCCATCACTGGCACTAACACCTGGTACTGTCCATCACTGGCACTAACACCTGGTACTTTCCTCAGGATGTGGTCATCTGTGTGTTCGGTATTCTTGGTTTCATCACGGGCACCTTCACCAGCATCTCTGCCATCGTCCAGTATTTTATCAACGGCCAGAAGGAACCCTCTCTAGAGTGCTAGAAGCTCCCCTCTACAGTGCTAGTAGCACCCTCTAAAGTACTAGCAGATCAAGAGTGTTAGCAGCCTGTAGCTTAGAAAATGGGTCCATAATGATATTTCTTTGATCTAATATATTGGTAATTTTTTCGTTAATATGTAAAAGAAAGCATTTTGTTTTATATTATTATTTGGTTTATATATTTAGCTATGTATGTAGGTAGGATGAACAAGTGTTCTACATACTGTGCTCCTTGGAAAGGGGTTTTGATTGGTTACCCACACTGCAAACTACTTGCTCGCTTGTTTGATTATTGGCCATGTGGTAAGCTGTAGAAGTCATCCAGTGCTGTATGTGGAGTGCTTGCTTCTCACTGCTGCTTCTCGAGGTATTATCTCCTCTGGGAGAACGTTTTCTTTTTCCCGTGTTATTCAGACTGTTTTTCCCAGTGTAAGTTTCTGTTAGTGAGCCTGAACATACATTAAACTGCACAACTGTTTACAGAGTATTATTTAGTGTGATTTCTGAAGTTCCCGAGGCTATGTGTAGTGAAACACTGTACCTCTGGTCCCCAGTTAAACTCTTGACCTACCGTGATCTGGCATCTACGCACTGTCATAGTAGAGGTTTGGAAATTGCTTAACTATGATCCAGTAATAAAGATGTGGAGGATTTACTGACGGTGCCCCAGTTAGTCCTTTTTTGGTCTCAGTGTTCCTTGTCTGACACTGCTGTTCACGACTGCTTCCTTAATTATTTCTGTTTGGTGAATTGTTCGTTCTACTGTTTAAGCAAACTTTTTTTTGGGAGAGGGGGGGGCGAGGAAATTGTCCATCACATTGTAAGTAGAGTAACTGAAGCTTACATATTTGTGAAGGTTTAGTCAGTCCTGTCAGACCCTAATAAAGAATTTGAAAAAGCTGGTTCTTCATTATGGAAAGAAACCAAAAAAAAAAAAACACATGATAAACAATTTTATAATTCACGGAATAATATAAGTCAAATATGAAATTAAGCCTACTTTAAGAAAAATGAAATGTATAAATAATTCGTGATCCTAAGCTAAATTTATACACAGATGTCGTGGGGTATAGAATGGTGTGCCGATGTTCTGGACACAGAGCTTGAATGTTTCTGAAACTCAAAGCCGTTGTTGATGATAAGGGGAAGGGGGTCACAGCTGGTCGTGATTCGCAAATGAAAGTCCACAACAGAATATATATACTGCCAAGAAGAGGTAGAGTGATCCTTTAACCGCCTCCCCTTCTGTCGAGAAGAGTAATTATGCAGTCAAGAGACTAGGAATGCTGGTGTAGTTATAACTTTGAGATGGTGTATAGCTGAATGGGCGGTCGGCTACAGATGTGTGTGGGGGGGGGGGGGTAGGGGTTGGACCAGTGTAGGTAGATATGTATAGCCACGTTTTGCTGATGTTGCTATCAATGCTCCATCAAAAGTATCTCTGCATGTGCCAGATGAATCTAGCTGACAATCAAGGCTAGAATTAAAACAACACACAGTCACACATCACTCGATAAATCTCTCAGACAATCGGCGTACGGCCTTTAAAAGAAATGGTGAGAATTAAAAAAATAATGTACTTGAAAATTCAAATCAATGCAAGAAGAAATAAATCCAAAATCCAAAATAAGAGTGAAGCTCTTAAGAAAGAATCCCAACATGAAACAGGAACAGAACGAATACTTACAGATGCGGCTTCATCAGTCTTATACAAAGCAGGAAGGTACAAGGGAAGGAGGAGTTTGAAGCCAGTTTGGTAAAACGTTTCTCCAAAAACAAATTCCCATTTGTTGCATAAGTGTCTCAGTTCTTCAACTTGTCGGTTTTCGAAACCATTCATGACATCTGTCAGACACTGCATCATCATGGGATCTTGATACAAACAATTCTTCAACTTGTCGGTTTTCAAAACTACTCATCACACACAGATGCGTTGGGAGCTGCTAGTCAAGTGATTTCACCACAGGTCTGAGAAGCTCAAGTCACCTCCCACCGGGTGTAAAAAAAAGGGGGGGGGGAGGGGTAGTGGGAGCTAGTCACCCATCCTATCTTAACAAGCAAACTGCCCAGCAAATTACCACAACCATACATTCATACTGTCACTACTCCTATCTACTGAACTTTACCCTCACAATATTACACATATTGTGTACTTTTAAGTACCTTCTACTACAGTAATGTACTAATGGGTACAGAGTCTTACAGTATTATAATGTTCACTATATTACCTAAAGTGTAATATACAAATATTAAGATATTTACCAAGAGTTGTATAGGAGACTATCTCTTTAATTATTAAGTTTGTGTTAACTGTAAATATTTCGACCCAGAAACCTTTTTATTATTAAAGTTTTCAAATTTAACTTAGTTTGTTATCCCAAAGTGTTACTGAGACGCCACATATAATACAATATAACTTTTTTATATATATTTTATAAGAAACATCACCTACCAATACATACAAGGATACGTACTCATAAAAATACAAAACAATGTCAGAATAGATCAACACGTACATAACCAGAACATTACACCAGACTTAGACAAACTTAGAGCAAACTTAACAACACACTCACAAGCCGATACACAGCCAACCTACACAGTGAGGTGCAGTAAGACAGCCTACACAGTGAGGTGCAGTAAGACAGCCTACACAGTGAGGTGCAGTAAGACAGCCTACACAGTGAGGTGCAGTAAGACAGCCTACACAGTGAGGGTGGCAGTAGTACAGGACAGCCTACACAGTGAGGTGCAGTTTTAAAACAGCCTACACAGTGAGGTGCAGGGAAGACAGCCTACACAGTGAGGTGCAGTTTAAAACAAACCCACACAAATGAGGTGCAGTAAGACAGCCTACACAGTGAGGTACAGTAAGACAGCCTACACAGTGAGGTGCAGTAAGACAGCCTACACAGTGAGGTGCAGTAAGACAGCCTCACAGTGAGGGGCAAATAAGACAACCTACACAGTGAGGTGCAGTAAGACAGCCTACACAGTGAGGTGCAGTAAGACAGCCTACACAGTGAGGTGCAGTAAGACAGCCTACACAGTGAGGTGCAGTAAGACAGCCTACACAGTGAGGTGCAGTAAGACAACTACACAGTGAGGTGCAGTAAGACAGCCTACACAGTGAGGTGCAGTATAAAACAGCCCACACAGTGAGGTGCAGTAAGACAGCCTACACAGTGAGGTGCAGTAAGACAGCCTACACGTGAGGGGCAGGGAGACAGCCTACACAGTGAGGTGCAGTAAACAGCCTACACAGTGAAGGGGCATTAAGACAGGGCCTACACAGTGAGGCGAAACGCTACACTGAGGGCAGTAAGACCCGCCTACACAGTGAGGTGCAGTAAGACAGCCTACACAGGGGAGGTGCAGTAAGACAGCCTACACAGTGAGGTGCAGTAAGACAGCCTACACAGTGAGGTGCAGTAAGACAGCCTACACAGTGAGGTGCAGTAAAACAGCCTACACAGTGAGGTGCATTAAGACAGCCTACACAGTGAGGTGCAGTAAGACAACCTACACAGTGAGGTGCAGTAAGACAACCTACACAGTGAGGTGCAGTAAGACAGCCTACACTAGTGAGGTGGCAGTAAAGGACAAAGCCTAACAGTGAGGTGCAGTAAGACAGCCTACACAGTGAGGTGCAGTTTAAGGGCAGCCTACACAGTGAGGTGCAGTAAGACAACCTACACAGTGAGGTGCAGTAAGGGCAGCTACACAGTGAGGTGCAGTAAAACAGCCTACACAGTGAGGTGCCCGTTTAAAACAGCCTACACAGTGAGGTGCAGTAAGACAGCCTACACAGTGAGGTGCAGTAAGACAGCCTACACAGTGAGGTGCAGTAAGACAGCCTACACAGTGAGGTGCAGTAAGACAGCCTACACAGTGAGGTGCAGTAAGACAACCTACACAGTGAGGTGCAGTAAGACAGCCTACACAGTGAGGTGCAGTAAGACAGCCTACACAGTGAGGTGCAGTAAGACAACTACACAGTGAGGTGCAGTAAGACAGCCTACACAGTGAGGTGCAGTAAGACAGCCTACACAGTGAGGTGCAGTAAGACAGCCTACACAGTGAGGTGCAGTAAGACAGCCTACACAGTGAGGTGCAGTAAGACAGCCTACACAGTGAGGTGCAGTAAGACAGCCTACAAAAGTGAGGTGCAGTAAGACAGCCTACACAGTGAGGGGCGTAAGACAACCTACACAGTGAGGTGCAGTAAGACAGCCTACACAGTGAGGGGGAAATAAGACAGCTACACAGTGAGGTGCAGTAAGACACCTACACAGTGAGGTGCAGTAAGACAACCTACACCCGTGAGGTGCAGTAAGACAGCCTACACAGTGAGAGTGCAGTAAGACAGGGCCCACACAGTGAGGTGCAGTAAAACAGCCTACAGTGAGTGCAAATAAGACAGCCTACACAGTGAGGGCAGTAAGACAGCCTAAAACAGTGAGGTGCAGTAAGAAACCTACACAGTGAGGTGCAGTAAGACAGCCTACACAGTTGAGGTGCAGTAAGACAGCCTACACAGTGAGGTGCAGTAACACAACCTACACAGTGAGGTCAGTAAGACAGCCTTTCACAGTGAGGTGCAGTAAGGGCAGCCTACACAGTGAGGTGCAGTAAGACAACCTACACAGTGAGGTTGCAGTAAGACAACCTACACAGTGAGGTGCAGTAAGACAGCCTACACAGTGAGGTGCAGAAGACAGCCTACACAGTGAGGTGCAGTAAGCAACCTACACGTGAGGTGCAGTAAGACAGCCTACACAGTGAGGTGCAGTAAGACAGCCTAACAGTGAGGTGCAGTAAGACCCCTACCAGTGAGGTGAGTAAGACAGCCTACACAGTGAGGTGCAGTAAGACAAAAATACACAGTGAGGTGCAGTAAGACACCTACCAGTGAGGTGCAGTAAGACCCTACCAGTGAGGTGCAGTTTAAGACAGCCTACACAGTGAGGTGCAGTAAGACAGCCTACACAGGAGGTGCAGTAAGACAGCCTACACAGTGAGGTTTCAGTTAAGAAGCCTACACAGTGAGGTGCAGTAAGACAGCCTACAAAAGTGAGGTGCAGTAAGACAGCCTACACAGTGAGGTGCAGTAAGACAGCCTACACAGTGAGGTGCAGTAAGACAACCTACACAGTGAGGTGCAGTAAGACAACCTACACAGTGAGGTGCAGTAAGACAGCCACACAGTGAGGTGCATAAGACAACCTACCAGTGAGGTGCAGTAAGACAGCCTACACAGTGAGGTGCAGTAAGACAGCCTACACAGTGAGGTGCAGTAAGACAGCCTACACAGTGAGGTGCAGTAAGACAGCCTACACAGTGAGGTGCAGTAAGACAGCCTACCCAGTTGAGGTGCAGTAAGACAGCCCACACAGTGAGGTGCAGTAAGACAGCCTACCATGAGGTGCAGTAAGACAGCCTACCAGTGAGGTGCAGTAAGGGCAGCCTACACAGTGAGGTGCAGTAAGACAGCCTACCAGTGGGGGTGCAGTAAAACACCTACCAGTGAGGTCCCGTAAGACAGCCTACACAGTGAGGTGCAGTAAGACAACCTACACAGTGAGGTGCAGTAAGACAGCCTACACAGTGAGGTGCAGTAAGACAGCCTACACAGTGAGAGTGCAGTAAAACAACCTACACAGTGAGGTGCAGTAAGACAGCCTACACAGTGAGGTGCGTAAGCAGCCTACACAGTGAGGTGCGTAAACACCACCTGAGGTGCATTTAAGACAGCCCACACAGTGAGGTCAGTAAGACAGCCTACACATGAGGGGCAGTAAAAAACCTACACAGTGGGTGCAGTAAACAACCTACACAGTAGGGGCATAAGACACCCCAAGTGAGGGATAAGACAGCCTACACAGTGAGGTGTAGGCTGTCAACCCCAACCCTACCCCCTCCTTCCCCCCCATCCCTCCCCCCACCCCCACCCCCCCCCCTTCACCCCCCCAACCTCCCCCCCCCCCCCCTTCCCCCCCTTCACCCCCTCCCAAACCCCCCTCCCCCCCCCCCCCCCTTTTCCCCCATCCTTTACCCCCACCTTTTACCCCAAAAACCCACCCCCTTTCACCCCCTTCACCCCATCCTCACCCCCACCCCTCACCCCCATCCCCACCCCCAATTTTTACCCCCCTCCCTCACCCCATCTTCACCCCCCCAACCCTCACCCCCCTCCTTTACCCCATCCTACCCCCATCCTTCCCCACCCCAACCCCATCCCACCCCCACCTTCCCCCCCCATCCCTACCCCCATCCACCCCATCCCCCACCCCCATCCCCCACCCCCCATTACCCCCTCCCCCCCCACCCCCACCCCCATCCCCCCCCATCCCCACCCCCATCCCTCACCCCCCCCCTTTACCCCCCACCCTCCCCCCACCCCCACCTTCACCCTCCTCACCCCCACCCCCACCCATCCCTCACCCCATCCCCCAACCCCCCCTCCCCCCCCCCTCCCCCACCCCACCCTCCCCCATCCCTCCCCCCCATCCCCCACCCCCCAACCCTTTACCCCATCCTCACCCCATCCCCACCCCCCCCCCCATCCCTTTACCCTCCCCCCCCACCTTTTCCCATCCCTCACCCCCATTTCCCCCCCCCTCCCCACCTTTTACCCATCCCTTACCCCTATCCATCCCCCCCCTCTTCACCCCATCCCCCACCCCCCTCCCCCCATTTCACCCCCCTCCCTACCCCCATCCTTCACCCCCATCCCCACCCCCCCCCTCACCCCCCCCTTCACCCCATACTTCCCCCCATCCCTCACCCCCCTCCTTCACCCCATCCCCCACCCCCATCCTTCCCCCCCTCCCCCACCCATCCCCCACCCCTCCTTACCCCATCCGTCACCCCCATCCCCCCCCCCATCCTCACCCCCCATCCCCCATTATCCTCACCCCCCCCACCCCCTTTTTACCCCATCCCCCACCCCCCTCCCCCACCCCCCCCTACCCCCATCCTCACCCCCTCCCTCCCCCCCATCCCTCACCCCCATCCTTCACCCCCTCCCTCACCCCATCCCTCCCCCCATCCCTCCCCCCCCCCCCTTTACCCCCCTCCCTCACCCCATCCCCCCCACCCCCCATCCCCCACCCCATCCCTCACCCCCATCCCCCAACCCCCATCCCCCACCCCCATCCCTCACCCCATCCCCACCCCCATCCCCACCCCCATCCCCCTTCCCCCCCCACCCTCCCCCCCCCCCCCATCCCCCCCCCCATCCTCACCCCTATTGGAAATGCAGCCCAACCCCCACTGACATACAAAAACACAAACAAGAAACCCGAGTCCGCTCAGGCATGCCAAAAACCACTGACAAAAATACACACACAAGAACCAAGTC